TTGGCAGACCCCACGCAACAGTAGCAGCAGCAGCAGCAGCAGCAGCGCTGGGGCTAGTGCCTGAGCTGCACCGAAAGGGACTTGCCCGAATCACTGATGGTCCCACACAGCAGGTTGCCATGAAGCCAGCACCCTCCGGGCAGGGGTATGAGGTGCAGGATGACACATGCAGACACGGAGATGGTTGTTTTGGAGCAAAGCTCTGCTGTACTTTGTCTAGTAACCTCAGGAGAGGCACCAGGGAGAGGGGGCAGATTTGCATCAATTTCACTCAGAGCATCCTTATCTGAGCCTGTTGGCCACAGGCAGGGACAACTCCTCCCTAGTGTGGCAGGCAGCAGCTTCCAAGCTTACTGGAGTGTTGAAGGGGTTTGTGGAAAACCATGTTACCCCCACAGCAGTGTTATGGAAAGGGAAGTGGCCGAGAGCTTAAACCTGCCATTTGCTGAGCTGCGTGAAAAAGAAACTGGGGAAGTGTGGGTCTGTGGTATCTCAGGTCTGCTGCAAAGTTAAAGCATTAGCCGAGCCCGAATCCTTCTCCTTAAAAGGCTCTTGACATGCTATACAGTTTTCCCTACGCCATCCTCTCTGAAACTGAACTCCTAGATGGGCTGCATGCACACACACATGCCCATACACAGACATGCCCATACGCACACACACACGTGCACACACAGCATCATGTGGAGACTCTGTCTGGGGCACCCAGGCCTTGCACCTATCCACTTTCTCCTGGGTGCTTGAATTTCCCTGTGCAGCGGTGGGAAGCTGAGCTGACCCTGGCCACAGGGTGCTTCTGAAGTGAGCCAGCCAGGGACACAGTCCCTGGGACGTTTCAGCAACCCCTGCAAATTTCTTAGTTGAAAAGGACACAGGAGGCTGCAGGGAGGCCCAGACCTTTGCAGATCAGCCTCGGGATTGCTCAGCTCGTGTGTTCATGGTTCTTTGGTTCTGTAAATCAAGCAGAGAAACCTAAACTGAGATATAAATCCTTACTTACAGCATACAGGCTTAAATACACCTAGGAGCATAGTGACCCTGAGGCCCTGGGGCCTACACCCCGCCCCTCCAAATTTTAGCAGCAGTCACCATTTAAGATTGGGCATGTGCTCTTAAAAATGGCTGCTGGTCTCGCAATAGCCTGAATTGAAAAACAGTCTGTGGCAATAACATTTCAGTCTCACAGTGTGTGTGAGCTTCTACGTGAGACCCTTGTCACTGCCCCCAGCCCCCTTGTTGCAGGTCACCACAGGCTACAGGGTGACCTTCCCAAGCTCGATCCCCACAGAGCTGGGGATCACCTTCCTCTCTGCTCACTTCACCTGCCCTCCTCAGAGCCAAAAGCCAGAGGAGCACCTCTGCCTGCACCCCAAGTCAGCAGTGCTGCGACTCTACGGTGTTTGCTGAGCAGACACATGTTGGTAAACCAGCATGAGCCATAGGAGGGGCTTTTTGGGGGGAGACACCATATATCACTGTAAATACTTGCCTGCAGTACTGCTCTTCTTGGATTTTTCCCCTTCCCCTCTCTTTCTGGAGGTGTTAACAACGCACTGCTCTTGATGCCTGACACAGTGCTCACCCTTTTTCACAAAGCTGCAGTCACCCAGCGGTGTCTGTATTCCCCCCACCCCCCGCAGTTTTTTTTGTATATGTTAGAGCACAGAGGAAAACTAATGGGCTCAGGTAATTTTGTCTTATAGAGCAGAGAATTACAACAAACTGTAATGTGCTTGAATCAAAATGACAGATCGTGAAGTAATGTTTTTTCACTTTATGCTGCCTGCTCTGCCTGACCCAACCATCAGCCGAGCTGCCTGCCACAGTGATTATTTCACCCACCATGACAAAAATCTTCATTGGATGCAGCAAAGTCGTCAGTGTTAAAACCCAGCTCACCTCGGAGATGAGCAGGATTTAGCTGGGGCTCAGACTGCACAGTGGCCCCAGCCACTTGCTGCTTTGCCCAGGAGCTCATTGCCTCAAAGCCCTGCTGCGTGCTTTTCCTTTCGCAGGGGAAGAACAAAGTGGGTTGGTTTCGGCACAGATCGCTCACAGGCCAGATTTACAGTCCTGCCCACCAAGTACAGCCTGGAAAATGATGATGGCAGACAGAAAAAAGCAGTCCAAGGTGAAAAGCCAGCCATTTTCAGTCTCTCTTCCTAGGATGTACAGTGTGAAACTATAGACCAGCACCTCCACCTTCCCTCAGCAGATGTGCCATTGCCTTGGCTATTTGGCCCCTGAGGCCGGTATACATTGCTTTGCTCATGAGCAGTAGCATCTCGCTGATCTGGCAGCTGGCCCATCCTAGGGAAGGATGGGCATTTTGGGGCTCACAGAGCCACCTCCCAGAGCTGTTGCCTCTTAGACCTGGTACCTCGTCATCAGAGATGTTCTTCGATAAACCTGCTGGCCTCTCTGGGCATCCTTAGTTTCTTTTGCAGGGGGTTAATGAAACCCTTGGATTCACAGAGCCAGGTGCTTTGACAACTACATTGAAGTGCTTCCTCCTGGACCCACCCTAAACCTGGTTGTTTGGTGAACCCAGGCAGTGGTGCATTGGGCAGCAGGTGGCTGTGCTCCTGATCTGCACCATCCCTCCTTGGGCTGGCTAAAGAGAGAGATGAGTGAGAAGAAGTTGTCCTCCAGAAGTTGTCTTTATGTCAGAGTGAATTCTCTGTGTGTCTACACTAGATACGCATACATATACATACATAGGAGTTTAAAATGCATCACATACTCTGCAGCACGGGAGGGAAATTCACAGCTGAGTGCAGGTAGGCTTTCCAGGAACTACTCATTATTAGATATAAAAATGTGGGTATTTAACCAAAATAAATAAAAAGTTTTCCATATTAGTCACAAACAACAAATCAGGCCATCGGACAGGTCTTATTCGCTGGGGTTATAAGATGCTGCAAAGGACCTGAGATATTCTCAGATAAATCAGCATCTCCAGTGTTTCAAATGTGTGTTCAAATTTTAATTCCATGAACAGTTTTTGTCTGAAAGTTTTACAACTCCAACTCCTTTTCTGCTATAGGGATGTTTCCACCAGTCTGCTGGAAAGGGAGGCCCCACTCGAGCAGGTGCTGAACTTGATGCTGTTGACTAGCTTTGCTGAAATCAAAAGGCCTCACTGCCCAATTTAGGTGAATCAAGGCTTCATTAAATAATAGGAAGCTGCACCAATGGTCAATATAAACATGACAGCACCCAGCCCTGCTCCTCTCCTCCTGAACCAGTGCTGGTATGCCTGAAATGGTCCCTCAGGAAATGAGCAGCTGTGATCATGACATGCAGTGCATGTCCATATCTATGTTAAGGGGATGAGCTCTGACTTTGGAAAAAGTCCTAATTACTACTTTCATGGCATTCTCTGCCACTGTGATTTCAGTTCCCACTGTGTACTCTTACACTCAACAGCTTTTGCGTTGCAAACTCCTGGAGGCATCAAGGCTTTCTAACTTTGGCTGCAAATATTTGCACACACACCGAGCTGCAAGGAACTTTCTCCACCATTTATCTCTTACTTAACACAGTTCTGTTCTGCTAATTTTTTCTCACTTCTCCTGCAAAGGGAAAGTGACAGAGTCAGCTGCAATGTGCCTGCAAGTGCTGCGAGACAAATCCATAATAATTTCTTCCCTCCCTCCTTCTATGGTTTTTGATAATTAGTTGAAAATATATTCCCTTGATAAGGCTACACCAGAGGAGTGTATGAAGACTTGCAACTAGAACTGGGAAGAATTGTTTTAGACAAATGTTTTATTCTCTTTGGGAAATAAATAGTTCTTTGGTTGTTGCAAAACAACGCTCCAGTGGGGGTTGAGTTTCTCAGGTAGTTTTCACCAGCTATTGCTGTTCAGGGCTTGTTTAGTACAACTGATGGCCAAGTAGGGAGCAGTTGGGACCTCACTGAGGCCAGCAGGAAGGTAGAGGAGGGGAAGTGGGAGGTCCAGTCCCCCATTTCCACCTCCGACTGGGAGAGCAGTTCAATCCTCCTTTCCTTGTTTCTTCATTTCTTTGTCATGTCTGGGTAATTAAGTGTTGTATGCCAAATGAACAGCTCGCGCAGGAAGGGCTGAGAGAGACCTACCTCAGAGTTACCAAATGACTTGAGGACATCCTGAGTCAAATCTTTGCTCTCAGCATGAAGGATGGCAGGGACAAATGTGAGCTCCCATGCCCTTTCCTCTGAAGCATGTCTCCCAGCTGTGAAGAAAACCTGAAAGAGTAATTTGGTTATTGGGATCATTTGGAAGGAAAAGGCTTGGCAAAAACCCGACTCCCTTCCCTAGCAGAGGCATGACAGGGCAGTGTTTCTGTGTCACTATGGGCAACTCTTTGTACATCTGCTCTCTTTGACTATTAAGGAAGACCAACTCTAAAAAAAAATAATCTTTTTTACTACGAAGATATAAATTTCTATGCCATTTATCCCAGCCATGGATTGTTTGTGCAATTTTTATGAGCAAAACCTCCAAATCTGAAAGGTGAAGTACGGTGATGATTGACTCTGTTAGCCCAACAGTTCTTTATTTGTTGCTGGTGCTTATAAAAAATGTGCAGGAGCTATTCAAATTTTGTTTTGATAATTAATGAGCAGTTTTATAAGAGAGAATATATCCTGTGCTTGTACCCACATACAGTGTTTATTTATACTTTTAAACCATGTTTACTGACCTTAGCAAATAGTATTTCCAAGAAAGCTGCTCACAGGTTAAGCAAACAGCTTAAGGATCTGAAGACATTATTTAACGAAGGAAGTGACTCACCGGCTTAATGACAGGGAGGCCTCCACCAGAGAGCTGGGGTGCCAGGGCTGGAAGCCTGAATGGAGGAAAGGGACTCACCAGCACAGACCAACATGGTGCCATGCAGTTGGGGGAAAATGAGGTTTTGCAGCCTCTACAGCTGTGCTGTGAGGACTGGTTGCCATGTTGGAAATCTGAGTTTTGAACATGCATTTTTGGATGGCATGACTTTTTTCCTAGGAGGGGCTTGCCGTAGAGATCCTCCTGTTGTGTGCCCGTTCCCACCAGCAGCTGTGCCACGGGAGGCAGAAGTGCAGAGGGAATGGCATAGAGATGCCCGTTCCCGCAGCATGGACTGAGCACATTGCAACATCTCAGGCTGGAAAATAAACACCTTTGTCGTGTTTTCCCCTCTCGCCAGGGCCTGTCTAGCCCAATGCTGCGCTGCCCATCCCAGCGTCTCCTGGACAGGATAGTGCGGCGCTACGCTGAGGTGCCAGATGCCGGCAGCATTTACATGGACCATCTCACCGACCGGGATAAACTGCGCCTGTTGTACACCCTGTCAGTGAATTCACACCCCATCTTGTTACAGGTATGCTATCACCTTGCCCTGGCTTGAAACACCACCCCACAAGCCCCTTGCAAGCGAACCCCCTCAGGAGATGTTCACCAGTCCCCAGTTGCAGAGGAGTCCCAGCCCTGGCCTTTGGCAATCTCCTTAGCTTATATAAAGAGACTTTCTTCTATGAGGTTGGGTGACTGAAGCCAGGCAGACTCCTGTGGTGCTCCTTGCATCAGCATGTGAAGTTGTGGAGATGCAGATGTCCAGCCTCTTAAATGAATCAGAACCCAGATGGGTTATTGCACTAGTGCATGGTGAAAGACAGGATTTTACATGTTCCCGATACTTCACGGCGTTATGTTTGTATTGCTAATATATTACGTACAATTACAGCCTATTTATAGAAGAGAAAAAGCATGCTTTATCATGGAAGGACCAAGATGCAATGTTGAGGTTGAACATGGACTTGGGCAGCACTAATTTCCCAAGCTCCACGTGCCAGTGCTTTTTTTTTTGCTATTTGCATGCTGCTGGTAACTAGCTCCATGGCAAAGTGGAGCTTTGCAGAGGTGTTTTGTGGAATCCCAAACATAACTGAGCTCTGAGTTTGAAGGCAGAGAGCTGGGAGACCTGACATGGCTCCTTCCTTTCCTTACACTTCTCTCTGAGGGAGTATCCTCACCTTTCCCACCACCACCTTTAGTCTTCATTGCTGTTTCTTGCAACCCTTCGAGATTCCATGGAGAGCCTCTATCTAATGCCACAGGCCACTGGTGCTCTCAGTAACACATAGGGCTCCCTTTGGTGCCAGGGAGAGGGAACGGTGCTCATGCTTGGGAATTCTCCTGGGGGTCACTCAGCCATAGCTCTCTGGGGTACGAACCTGTGGTTCTCAGCACTGTAAAGATATGGGAGCACAGCTTGCAGGGGTGGAAAATATATACTGAAGAGAAATGGCTTAATTTTACTTGGGTGCCCGAAATGCTTTCACAGCAGGAGGAAGGCAACCTTAAACATGAAACTGGATGGGTTCATAGAGCCCTCCTCAGTAGGGCCCAGGTGTGCTGGGGAGATAGGCAAGTTACAGTGTAAGTGGCAGAAAGCTTTGTGTTGGCACAGCTCAGCGTTCACGCAGTTTGGTTTCCACCTGGCATAACTGCCCTCCTAGCAGGAGCTGCAGTGATGCAGTTTGGCCAGCCCAGGTGTCCCCACTGGAGCACACACGCAGCACTTCTGTCCCTGATCCTGCAAGGACTCTTACGAAATAGCCAGGCAGTTCTTATAAATGAGTGAAAATGACATGAGCCCTACCTCGCCTCCAAGCCATGACTTTAGCTATACAGCGCTCGTGAGGGAACCATCAAAGGCTCCATAAAGACACCCTAAAATTAGCTTTTCATGAATTTGAAATTTTCATGAATTTGAAATCTATTATTATATTGGACTTTCTGGTTAGTCTGCGTCACAGACTAGGTCTTAAAATATCAGGTTCTTCTTCCGTAATAAAAAAGTTAAAAAGAAAAAAAGCAGAAAAAAACCCCGGTGTAGCTATTCCAGGGTGGAGCAGACCCTTCCCCAGCTGGTGGGGCAGTGAGGAAAGGTGGTAGGCTGCTTTAAGAAGTGAAACACAATGCTGGTACCGCTGCTTAAAGCCAGCCAGGGCACCTGAGGGTGGAAGGTGGGTCCACATGCAGAGGACATGGGTAATTCCTTCCCTGGGTTCCTGCTTTTCCTTTCAGATCTTCCCCGACGTGGAGGGGTGGCCCTTCCCGCGGTACCTGGGCTCCTGCGGGCGGCTGGTGGTCAGCGCCAGCACACGGCCCCTGCGTGACTTCTACGGCGCGGCCCCCGAGGTGGCTGCCGACCTGGCCCTCCAGCTCCTTGCCATCCTTCACTCCATGGGCACCAACGACCTCAACTATTTCTTCTACTTCACCCATGTGGACGCTGGCACCTTTGGCGTGTTTAGCAACGGGCATCTGTTCATCCGGGATGCCAGCACGCTGGGCATCATCGACAAGGAGGAAGGTACACAGCAGGCTCCACGGCTGCACATCTGTCACAGGAGGGATTAGCGAGGCAGCGGAAATGAATTTCTCACCTGCTACACTCATCTCTGCTGCTAGTTTGGTTTTTTTTAATCTGCCAAACGTTGCTGGCTAAATTAAATTAAAAAAAGCACACGGAGAGATTTACTGACAGCAAAAGCGCCAGCAGACCCTGCCATCCTGGCTCTGAGTCAGGAAGGCAATGGGCAGGGGTTTTTTGTGCAATCAATGGTCTGAGGACCAACCGTGGGCATGTACGTCTTGCCTGGCCCCCTCTGTGACTGGCAGCAGCATTCGGCGTGCCCAATACTGAACACTCTCCCTTGAAGTCTTCCTAAATCTCCTCCTTTAAAACTTTTGGCACAGAAATACCAATATTTACAAGTAGACATTTCACAGATTTATTCAAGTATTGTGTCAAATTAGATTCTTTTTTAGGTGCATTTGTCACATTAACTAATAATCATTATTATAATTATAACAACAAAATCCCCTTTATGTAATTTTTACATAAAATCAAGGGTTACTGTTCACATTTCACAGGTTTCATTGGTCTAGCCTTGGAAGGAGAACTAGCCAAATACTATTCCTCTGATGATTTAACAATTTCATTTTGAACATTCAAATTTTCAAAAGTTCTTTGCTCAGTTCTCACATTCAGCTGAGCAGATCTCAAATATTCAGAAGCAGCTGTCGAGAGAGTTTTCCACTGGGTTTCTTTTTCTTGTCCGAACAGCCATTACTGTTAACTTGACTCCAGCTAGATGAGCTGCTCTTACAATTTAATGATTTTGAGTAACATAGAAAAATTATTGGTTTGGCTATTTGTGGTAGCTTTTGTAGGAACTCCACATTTTAGGTTGGTACTCCAGTTCTCATTTTTCCTGCATCAGTGTGACTTGAAAGAGTTCTCTCCAGTTCTTCTGTCAGAAGGTTCTGCAGAGCCCTGTCATTCAGCGAAAGATACATATTTCAGGAGTGAGAAAATTGGCCCATACACAGCTCCAGCACAGAGTACTTTGTGGTGAAAGAGAGCTGTATCCTTTAGATAGTCACAAACCCTGTGTTAATACAGAGGTACAGACATATGTGATTATCCCAGATTTTGCTACTGTATTTCTAACAACTGGTTTAATTGTTTCTCATAGGGAGCCAGCTGATTGATGGCCAACAGGAGTATAAAGATATATTCAGCTGCTTGACTGTGGACTGCCAGTCTGCATTTGTGTCCTGTAACTCCATCAGGGAGAAGCACAGCCTCGTCATGGTGTGTCAAGAGCTTTTGCCTAAGCTGCTGAAAGGAAAATTCCTGCAACCCATGCAGGAGAAAATAGACAGATTCCTGCAGCACTGCGCCGATAGCCTCGCCGACGACCAGGGTCTCGATGAGGCAGTTGCGAAGCTGGCAGAGCTCCTGAAACCTCTGCGGTCTTGTGATTCCCGTTTTGCCTACCGCTACCCTGACTGCAAATACAGTGACAAATACTGATGGCTTCAGAGGAGGAGACCCCTGGGAAGGGCTGGGAAAATGTCAGCCCCCTGCCAGTGTGGGAAGCAAGAAGATAGCAGGGTAGCTGAGAAGAGCTGCTCTAACTCTGGGGCTTCCTCATCAAGGCAGAGGAGGAGGGAGCAGAGTGCATACAGGATTCGTTGTTCATCTCCCAGAGATGCATTTGTTACATGGGATGCTAGACATGATGTAAGGTTTATGGATTATTAGCATTATCGTGAGTGGCAGGGAGGATTAATAAATCTCATTTGCGTCTGTTGGCCTTGGAAGAGTTTTCCATGCCATTTGTTAAAAAGAGACCCTCTGAAGACAGCATACTCACAACTAGATAGATAGAGGAGCTTTATTACCAAGAAAGTCTTTCTGATTGAGATGATCTATACATAATGTGGGATGGATGGAAGCATCTAAGACTTTCCCTTTGGGGACTCTTAATACACTAAAAATCATAGATAAACTGAACCATCAAATCAGTTCTGTACCATCACCCATCACATATCACTTTTATAAAATATTTAAATTTTATTACTTTTATGGCATGCAGAACAGAAAGACGCAGCCAACAGCATTAAAAAGCCGGAAGGTCTCATGTCTCTTGAGGCTTAATTTATCTAATCCCCAAATATAATTACTTTTAGTCTTTCTCAAGTTGACAGGCAGAAAGTGGAGACTAATAAAGGTTTTTGTTTTAAGGACAGGAAAAGAACAGCTCTGGGATCTGATGGGCCAGCTCTGGGATCTGATGGTCCAGCAGATACTTTCACAGAAAACTGGAGGAACTATTTGCACAAATCCATTCAAATGGAAAAATTACTTTAAGAGGAAAACCAACACAGGCAGAGGATGAGACATGAGTTTATGCTGAGCCCAGTGAGACTTACTGAACACTCAATACTCCAGTGGCGGTGCTGGGGCACCCCCCAAGAGCTGGAGAGGTTTAAGTCCTGACCAGCAAGAGGTACAGCCATCCTCATCCATTTGACTTTCAAAGGAGGAATCAGGATGCCAGTCTTTGAAGCAATAACTCAGGCACCTAAATTCGGGGTTGTGGTCTCTTTTTTCCACAGCAGCGGCCAACCCAGGGCTAGATGCAGGGGCCTCATTTTGTGGAGGAAGGTTGCAAAAGTTTCAGAATTGCAAAATACAACTTCCTCACCAAGCACCTGTCAATCTCTGTTCCATGTGCTCCCTGTAGGGTGTCAGTCAGAGGCCCACATCAAACCTTCCCTGATGTTGAGGGGACTGCCAGACCCCACCTGGATTTGGGGCTTTCTCCTGGGATCCAGGTGTGCAGGAGTAACCAAGGAAAAGTGGCTGAGCTGAGTCAGAAATTAGACTTTTTGAATCCCCTGTAAGTATTTTCATCATGGAAACAGTCTTCCTGTAGCTATGGTTCAAAAAAAGAAATCAGTAACAGCATTAAAGCAGAAAAAAATGCATTTGCATTGCTCATCGTTGTAGGGAGTTACCACGAGCAGTTTCAAGATTTTGTGTTGCTCTGAAGGGGCCCTGTGCACACAGAGCATCCAGCCTGGGGTTCAGGGCAGGTGTTGCAGACAGATTAGGCATCCAAAACCACACACAGGTCTGACACTGGGAGAATCTGACCCAGGACGTTTATTTTGCCTTTCTTCCTGGCATAAAGTATCAACTGCACCTTTCAGCTCTCAAGAAGTAGAAACGTTAAAAATAATTCTTAGGTAAATTTAGCTCCAGGCCCAGATGGTCCGACAGTGAAAATGTTTAAATATACAGTCTAAGCTATGGCTGCAGCCCTCTTTCTTGATTTCAGCCTATTTCTACATCATGGCTCTCTTCCAGTAAGAAACATGTCCTTCGCTGAGATCCATAAGGCTGTCTAACAATCTGTTTTCAACAGTTTTTTCTTGGATCTGTCTGCATCTCCAGTCTCTTGGTCTGTGATATTACCTGATAGCTGGGATTAGCCCCTGGCCCCTTCCCCTCCAACGTTTCCCCCTGCCATGCTGCCAGATGCTGGCCACCTCGAGATCCCATTTCATTGCTGCTCTCCCTAGGGTCGATGGTGAGGTGCTGCGAGCTGTCATCATCCTCTCAGTGCTGGAGGGCAGCCGTCTTCATGCAGTCATAACTAAAAATGCACACTGCAAAACACCCTAAAAATGCTAAAGGTGAAGAACTGTCCTGGTCTGCTTATGCCTCAGCAGAGGTGATTTGCAAGCCATGGAGACCCATGGAGATGGGTCTTGGAGACCCGTGGAGATGTCTTTGCAGCTGCTCTGTGATTCAGGCTGGCCTCTGATTCAGAG